TAGATTTATTAAAATTAAATTATTAATTATATTTATTATTTTATCCTTATTTTCTATTTTATTTTATTTACTTATCATTAATATGTTATTTAGATTTCATGGAATGGCAATTATACATACAGCAAAAAAATATATTAGAGATGAACTTATAAAAAAGATTAAAAAGAATACTTTGGAAATGAAGAAACGCGAAAATATAAATGCTATCCTTAGTACTATAGAAGAAGCACATGTATATTATTTTATCATTTACATTAATAATTATATTGTAATTAAGTCTTAAATCAAATAATCATTTTATTTTAAAGATTAAATCTGATGTAGATCGCTACCAAAAATATGTGAATTTGAATAGTGTTGCATTATGCTTTCAAGCATTTATTTTGGATCAAAATGAAATTATGAGACCAATAACAAATCCTATATATTCACATCCTATTAATAATCTCAGTAAGTAAAAAAATAAATTTATTTAGATGTAGATGATTTCATGATTTGTTGTAAAATAATCTATATATATATGTATATATGTATATATATATTTAATGAGATTTAATTCAAATTTGTTATAATCTATATATATATATATATAGAGATATATATAAATAAGAGATTGAAATCATTATATGATTGATTGATTGATTGGTTGATTCATAAAATTTTCTTCTATCAGAGAAGATAAAAATATTTAATATTATTAGAATAAACAAAAACTAAAAAATTTTCTATGATTAAAATCAAAAAAAGAAAAAAGTTTCTATTTAATAATTGATAAGATAAAAATTCTTAAGAAATTTTTTGTAAAAATCAACAAAAACTAATAAAATTATAAGACTATTTTTTACTATTAATTTTCTATTAATTTAATACTATTAATTTTCTAAAATCATTGAAATGATAATTTACAATTTTTCTATTTTATTATTATTTTTATTTTAAATAGATTAAAACATATTTAAATTTAAATAAAATCATAGACATCAAGTAAGTGTAAAAGTGATTGATTTAATATAAAATGATTTATAATTTCAAGAAAATAAATAAAAAAAAAATTTTAAATATGTAATATAATTTTACAGAAAGTGCATTAACAGGAGAACTTAAAATATGCAGAATTGATAAACATACTAGCAGTGTTGAAGGAGCTGAAGAAGTATTTATACTTGTAGAGAAAGTTGGAAAAAGTAATTTATTAACAATTTATTAATGTATATATTCAAAATATAAAAAACAGTTATTATTATTCAATACTTTTATTTATACAATAATTAATTTAATATTTTTTATTATAGAGAATATTAAGATAAAATTTTTCGAATTAAATGAGGACGATTATGAAATTTGGTGTGATTATGGACGCTTTTCAGAATTAGATGTTCATCATCAATATGCTATTGTATTTCGGTATAGTAATATATTAGAAATAGATAATCTTTATATTTTTTCAATGATTACAAAAAATAAATATAATGTTGCAAAGGATTTTCCGTAATACTATCAATTATATTTTTTTTTATGATTTCTATAATAATAGTTAAGAATAGAAACAAATATTATCATTTAACTTGATATTTATTTTTCCAATTATTGAAATTATACAATTATTTCAATTTATACAATTCAGTATTACTTAGACTTAGATTGTTATAACATAATGTTATTATTAAATTTTTTATATTCATTTGGATATGATTTTTATAAAAGAAATTTTAATAACTATTACTAAGTTTTCAAAATATATTGATATAATTATTTTAATTAATAATTTTAAAATTTTTTTTTTATAGAACTCCACCATATAGAGATCTTAATATTACTACACCAAAAGAGGTTTTTATACAATTAGAACGACCATCTGATGGAGATTGTTCTGAACCAATAAAGTTTACTTATAAACCAAGTGATAGAATTATAAGTAAATTATATATATAAATTTTAATAAGTTTTAATAAATTTAAAGGAAATTAAAGCTTAAATAAATCTTATAAATATGTTTATAGATAGGAAACGACAACGAATATCTCATTCTGGAAGCTCAGAATTATCATTTATATTACCAATTTCTAATTATAGTGAAAATGAAAATATATCAGATATTTTAAATAATTCTACAGAAATGAAAAAAATATTATCCGAAGGTATTACATCACCAAAATGCAAAGAATTTCTTAAAAATATGGATGTCGACAGTAAGTCAATTACAAGTTTACAATTTATTACATCTCAAAGATAAAATTTATTTTGAAAAATTTGATTTATATTTTTTTTGTAGATTATTTAAAATTCTTTGATAATGAAGAAAATATGCTAATTACTGATGGTCCTTCAACTATACAAGTAAATATTTTTTTTTATTTTTAATTTATATATTAATTGATTTATATATATTCTTGCAAATATCATTTATGTTATATTTTAAAATTTTTAATAATATATAAATAAATAATATTGAATGAATAAATCCTTTTATTAGAATCAAGATGATATTATGTTTGCTAAAAATGTACTTACTAAAGTTGTACAATATATGAAAATGGATTTAAAAAATGTAGAAGAATATATTCAAAAATTATTTAAAGATCGATCGACATATGGAGATTCTCCATTGCATGCAGCACTTCGATATGGTCAACGAGATATCGTGAAGTATTTTTTAATGATAATAAGTTCTAATAAGGATTCTAAAGCACTCGTTAATGGACAAAATAATTCTGGAAAAGTAAATATTTTCTAAAAATTTATTTATTTTCTTTTTATTTACTTCAATTTTTATTTAATTTATTTATTAAATATTTTATATTCATTTTAAATTATTTTATATATAAGAATATTTTTATTACATATTTAATATATTTTAATGTATAGATAATTTCTTGTTTAGACTCCATTACATTATGCTATTTTACAAAACCAACCAGAAATAACAAAAGCATTACTTATGCTTGGAGCTGATCCAAATCGAACAGATGATAATGGATTTTCTGCATTACATACAGCTGTAAAAAGTAAATTAAATTATTAAAAAATAAAATATAAATTTAATTAAAAACACAGTACTAAGATAAATTTTAGTAAATAAAATAAAATAATAATAAATAAAAAAAGAAATATAAGAAAGAATATACACGATTTAGGAAAAAATTTTTCTCAAAAAATTTTTCAAATACACATTTAATTATTTTAATATAATTCATTTTAGTTCCTGAAGCTGGTGCATGTGTTGATGTGCTATTATCTGAAAAAAGAACTGACATTGAAGCATACAATGATGCTGGATGGATGCCATTACATCTTGCAGCAAAAGCAGGGTCATATAATGCAGTATGTTCACTTATTCATGCAGGTGTAAATGTAAATAATACTGATAAATCTTATGGTCGAACAGCATTACATATAGCTGTTGAAGGTGGATATACGAATATAGTTGAATATTTACTTAAAAAGGTACATTATTTAATATTTTAATAAAATTATCCAATTATACAATTATGGCTATCTGTTTTTAATATAAATATATTATTATTTACAGACAAATATATCTGTAAATAAAAGAAACTTTAGTGGAAATACTGCTTTGCATACTGCAGTTGTACATACGGGAGTTCGAGCAAAAGAATTATGTGCATTGTTAATACAACATGGTGCAGATCCATATATTCAAAATCATAATCGAGAATCAAATAATGTACATTATTTTTTTTTAATTTTTTTTATTTTTTTTATATTTCTTTTACTTTCTTTAATTATTGATCCAAATTATATTTTTTATGAAATTTCTTTAATAGCTAGATAAAAAGAAAGAATCTCATATCAAAGTAAAAGTTGAAGTAGATGCAGAAGATGAAAAAGCAGATGAAGTTATTGGACAATCATCATTTGATTTGGCTAAAAATAAACCAGATGTAATTATTATTATATTCATATATATTATTTTACAATAAATAAACTCAAATAAAATTAGTCAATGAAAATATTAAATTAAATAAATTGATTAAAATATATACAATATATAATTTTAATCAAATATTTTTTTTTATAGATTTTGCAACTTTTTAATAAACAATATGAAGAAACAACAAATGAAATGTGCTCAGTTACTACAAAATTAGAATTAAAGGATGAAGATTCAGAGATAAATTGGTTAAATAATGAACATAAAGAAAAATTATCTATACTTTTAGATAAAACACAAGGTTGGCGGAAACTTGCAAAACATTTAAATGTTGAATATTTGTTAAAAACATTCCAATATAGTTCAACAAGTCCATCATTATTTCTTTTAAATTATATTGATGTAAGTAGTTAATAATAATATTATACTATTACGAACTATTATGAAGTTTTATATAAAAAAAAATAAAAATTTATTAGGTGGAAGCATCTTTATCAGTGAAAGAGATACAAGTAATATTAAGAAAAATTGGAGAAGAAGAAGCAGTAGAATATATAAATGAAATTGTATCAATGTATTCATAAAATAAATCTGTTTTTAAATATATTTCTATAATATATTATATTTTTAATCAGTATTATCTAAAATATATATGAAAAAAAATAAAAAAAAAAAATAAAATAAAAATTTTTAATGAATACACAAATATAAAATATTTAAATATTTAATTATATGTTTTTCCCATTATAATTCAACCAAGTTTTTTTATTAAAATAATTTATAGAGATTTAGAATTATAGTAATTAGTGTGATTTATTGTTGTCATATAACATAATATATATGTACGATTTACTTAACCAAAAAATTATGTACTTGTTATCATTCTAACACATCATTTCATATCATATCACATTATTTTTATAGTTTAAAAATTCAAATTTTATAGATCTTCAAAAATTTGTTATGTTGCATCACTGTATGTCTTTTGAAAATATCCTAAATACATATATTTATGTATTTATATTCAGAATAGAAAATTTTTTTTATAAATAAAGTGTGAATTGAGAAATTAATACAGAACAGCTGTTACGCGTAGTATATTATTTATATCTATACAAAAAGATTGTTGACATTTATTTTGTTTATATTTTATTACATTTTTCTTCCAATTTTAAGTATAAATATAATTTATATTATAATTATTAAATTTAAATATTAATATGAGTTACATATTAACGGAAGGTGGATCATTTTTAAGTTTGTGAAAAAATATTGTGTTGTTTTGAAATATTAAGATAAAAGTATTATTTCTAAAAAATAATAATTAGTTAGTTGGAAACAGAAAATGGATAAATTAAAAAGAGCTTTAAGTGGCAATGATCAATGTGATGAAGAAAGTGGTATTATCACTCAGGTAATTAATATTAAAATTAATTATAATTTTTAGTAATATAAATTTTTTAAAATGCATATAATTTAATTTGATTTATATAAAATTATTATTTTGATGCATACAATTTTTAATGGAAGACTGATGTGGATTTTATGGTAAGCTTATAAATTAAAAAAAAAATAAAATTATATATGTTTTTGATAATAATATATTTTAATTCACTTAAATTTTTAACATTAAAATAAACTGTTTTTTTTTCTTTTATAGGTTATGGATCAAACTACATTAAGTTGGTCTACTCGAATAAAAGGTTTTGCTATTTGTTTTATTGTTGGTATTCTCTGCTCTTTTCTTGGATCTTTTGCTTTATTTTTACATAAAGGACTTACAGTCTTTGCTGTATTTTACACTCTAGGAAATATCATCTCATTAGCAAGGTAGAATAATTGAAATTAAATATTCTTATACTTTAACTAGGTACGACTACACATTTTTTTCACAAATCTGTTTAATTATCAAAAATATCATAATATTAAGTAACTTAATAAATTCATTAATAAAATATAATAAAAATCATAAAAATTATTTTAATATAATTATTCAAAGTGTAATCATTTTCCCAATAATCCTTTATTTTATTGTAAACAAACAATAATATTTTTGAATAAAAAATATTTTTTATTTTATTCATAGCACATGCTTTTTAATGGGTCCATTCAATCAATTTAAAAAGATGTTTGCACCAACAAGAGTGATTGCAACTATTTTAGTATTTGTATCAATTGCAATAACTTTATTTGCAGCTTTACATGTAAGTATAATACATATAATAATATTTATAATATATAAATATTTTTTTTAAATATAACAAAATTTAACCCAATTAACATGCATATTTTTAGCTAAAGAATGCTGGATTGGCTCTTTTATTTATAATTATTCAATCATTGGCAATGACTTGGTATTCTTTGTCTTATATTCCTTACGCACGTGATGCTGTTAAAAAAACTCTGGAGACATGTATTACATGAAAACACTTACAATATGTTTAATAAAATGTCTCACTTAATAAATATGTTGAAATTTATATACTGTTATTTTATATTATGCAAAATATGAAGTAAAATATGAAACTAATTTAAAGCACAATGTAATATTTATTGAATAGAAATTCTAACAATTATAAGTACATAAATATACCTCATATATATAATAAGATATTTTTACAAATATATATTTAATATTGTAATATTTTTTTTAATATTATAAATACTAAGTTTATATGAAATATATTATATTCTTATAATATTACTTCTTTTTTAATATTTATTATATGTTTTTTGTACAGTATGAATAATTTTGTACATTAAATAGATATCAAATTATTTGTTTGTGATAAATTTCTATTTTCTATTATATGTATTTTATATTTATATTTTATATAGATATATGTATGATCATATTAATTATTAATATAATTAACAATAATATTACATTGATAATAACACTTTGATTTTTTGATTTTTTAATTTATTTTTTAGAATGTAATTAATAAAGAATTATAAAATTAAATAATATAAATTTAATATAAATATAAGTGATTATTACATAAAACTGAAATATTTATTTATTTATTATTTATTATTTATTATTTATTATTTATTATTTATTGCTAGTTTATATTAATTTATTAAATTGAAGTTTTTAAAAGTATTATAATTAAAATTAATCATTTTGTAAACTTGTGCGAGTTTTTATGATTACCTTAAACCATAATGGAAGTCATTTTCTGATATGTTTTCTACATTATTAGATAAATCTTTGAAAAATTTTGAAAAAATTTATATAACATCTTTAAATATTCAAAATTATGATTAGAATAAAGAATTTAAACAACAATTTATGAAATACATTATTATTGTAAAGATATAAAATGAAAAATCTGATTTTTTTCAAAAATTCCTGAATATTAATATCTGTATTAAGAAAATTTAATTTTTTAAAAGTATAGTGATTTCAAAAAATAATAAATTAAATAGATTATTTTAAGGAATATATGAAATATTATTTATTTATAATTATAAATAGTATTTTCTTATTAGTTGATTCTAATTTAAAAATTGAACGTTGAATGTTGAATGACCAATCATATATCATCATAATTGCAACCACCAATCATAATTCAATATGTTATTGCGTCATATACAAATGAAAGTTCTAATTGGATGAAGATATAAACAATAATTTCTTTTACGTCCTTCGATCAACAGCAACAGGTTCTAAGTACAAAGAAAATTCTTCAGCAGCCATTGTACCTTTAACGCGCGGGTCGCGATCGGTTCGTTAAGTGTTCGATGGGCTACGTTATATTCTGCACATATTAATATTTATTAACACACTTGCACAGTAAGTAAGAAAAATTTGTTATCTTTAATATATATTTAAAATTACTCCATAAATAAATGTCATATAATATTGAAAAGAACTGAGAAAAATGAGTAAATAACCGTTAGAAAATATAGATTTAAAATAACTTAATTTTTAATACGATTTGTAGTATCATATATGGATTTATACTGATTTTTTAATAAGGTATCAATCAAAAAATATATAATATATAAATATATAAATATATATTATATTATAATTGTTAAATGTTTAATTAATATATAGATAAGAGCAACTTTCTTTTTAAATTATAAATTGTATAACTTTGTTAAAATTATTATAACTTTTACTACAATTTTAATTTTATAATTATGTATTAATGATTTGTACTGTTTATATTTTTACAGAGAAAAATTTATATCCAATTTTTTTAAGGTATAAAAATGCCTGCACCAGAAGCTGATTGTCATAGTCGTAAAGCTAATTTTAAATTTAATAATAAACATGAGGTAAATTAATCATTGTGTTGTAAAATGTGTGATATAAAATATATAGTTAATTTCTTATTATACTTTATTTTCTTTATTTGTAAAAATTATTTTTATATATAATATTATATATAAATAATTTGTTATAGGAAGCACGTAGAAGAAGGAGTGAAATATCAGTAGAATTACGTAAAGCTAGAAAAGATGAACAATTATTAAAACGACGAAATTTGAATGTAGGCAAAGAATCACAAAATCCTGTGAGTGAAAGTAATCTTTCACCCATTTCTGTATCTATAGAAGAAATTGTCAATGGCATGAAATCTTCAGATCAAACAATTCAATTACAAGCAACACAAGCATGTAGAAAAATGTTGAGCCGAGAAAAGAATCCACCTATAGATATTATGATTCAACGTGGAATTGTTCCACGATGTGTTGAATTTTTAGATTATCATCATAAGTATGGATATAATAATAATAATTTTATTTTATTTTTATTTCATAAATTTTTTTGTTATTTACATTAAATATTTCTAGTGCTGCATTGCAGTTTGAAGCAGCATGGGCTCTAACAAATGTAGCATCTGGTACATCAGAGCAAACTCATGTTGTTGTTAAACATGGTGCTATACCAAAATTAGTTGCATTACTTAAATCTGCATCACCTAATGTTGCTGAACAAGCTGTATGGGCACTTGGTAATATTGCTGGAGATGGTCCAGCAGCTCGAGATCTTGTTCTTGGATATGATGCTATGCCACTTTTATTAGAATTAATTAAGCCTGATACTTCTGTATGTATAATATATATTTATTTCAATATAGATATAATAATACTATTATTAAATTACTATTAAATTTATTATTATAGGTAACATTTACACGTAATATTGTTTGGACATTATCAAATTTATGTCGTAATAAAAATCCTCCACCTCCATTTGAAATTGTAAGAACTGCTCTTCCAGTGTTAAATCGTTTACTTAGTAATAATGACAAAGATATACTAGGTAAAATTATGATATTTAATTAGAATATTCCATATGTGATAATTTATATTTTAAAATAATTATAAATAAATTTTTTTATTGTAGCTGATGCTTGTTGGGCTCTTTCATATCTTACTGATGGTTCTAATGATAAAATACAAGCAGTTGTTGAATCTGGAGTTATACCAAAACTTGTACAATTACTTACTTCAACTGAAGTGACAGTTTTAACACCTGCACTTCGTGCTGTTGGAAATATAGTTACAGGAAATGATATGCAAACAGATGCAATAATATCAGCAGGTGGTTTGCAACATTTAGGATTATTATTACAACATCATCGTATCAATATTGTTAAAGAAGCTGCATGGACTATCAGTAATATTACTGCAGGGAACATAGAACAAATTCAACATGTTATAAATGCTGGTTTATTGCCACTTTTAATACATGTTCTGGAATCTGTTAGTAAATTATATATCTTTTATTAATTGTAATTATCAAAAAAATTATTTAATTATTTATATAAAATTATATTTTATTTATAGGGAGATTTTAAATCTCAAAAAGAGGCAGCATGGGCAGTAACAAATTTAACTTCAGGTGGATCAGTACAACAATTAGCCCAACTAGTACAATTAGGAGTGCTTGCACCATTTTGCAATCTTCTAGAAGCCAAGGATTGGAAAACAATAATTGTTGTTCTTGATGGTTTAACTAATATTTTCAATGCTGCGGAAAAAATGGGAGAAATTGAACGAGTAGCTATTATGATAGAAGAAGTTGGAGGTTTGGATAAATTAGAAGCTCTTCAGCATCATGATGTAGAACAAGTATATCAAAAAGCTACTGCAATGATTGATAACTTCTTCTCAGAACCAGTAAGAGAATTTATAAAAATTTATACATTTAAATAATAATATATATTTTAGTAATAAAATAAAAAATATTCGAATGTTATGAACATTTTTTTATAGGAAGCCGAAGAATCAACATTAACAACACCTACAGCGGCTGATGGTCAATTGGAATTTAAACCAGCTGAAACGGCACAAAAGGGTTTCAATTTTTAGATTCCATAATCAGTTTTACGTTATTTAATTAATATACTAGTGTGTGTTTCAGTTCTTTTTGTAAATAGGTTTACATTTTTTCGTCGTTGCAAATGAACATTAAAGAAGAATTTTTTGTCCCTTTCATAATGCTTTATTGATATTTTGTGTGTTCCATGACATCAATTTCCATTTAATGTTCCTTTTTATATATAGCTTTAAAATTGCAATTTATTTGTTTATATATATCTTTCATTTCTGATATTATTAATTTCAGAATTTTTGTTCTGTACTGAAATATGTATTTTGCGATATTCTAAGAGTCATTTTTAATATCATTTTATGTTAGTCATTTAATATCATGTTTTGCATTTTTTTGAATTTATAATACATAAACATTTATCTTTAGATTTGATCACCGTTAAAATTTTATGTACCAATTATTTTCATTTTTTTCTTTTTATTATACATGTAATTGTCTTGTGATTTGTTAAATTATGTGTCTATAAAATACTATAAGCTACATTTCTTATTACAATTTATATGTATTTTTTAATAAAACTTTGATACAAAAGGTAACATGTATTGATAATAGTAATTTCAATAATTTTATATAATATAATACAATTATAAGCAATTGAACAAGAATGGGGTTTTCGGTTATCTTATATATTTAGAGTATTATAATTTTAAATATTTAATAACTATAAGTTATCATAAAATTAATTTAAGATAAGTCAAATAACAATTTCTTCTTATTATAATAAGTTTATATAATACATATTTAGTCACTTCAAACTAAACAAAGACTAGATGAAATTGTAACAAATTTCTTACTTATTACGAGTATTCATTATTTTATATCATACAATATTCTTACTTAAAAAATATTTTTGAATTGGCAAGGTATTTACGTGCATTATTTCATTTTATAATTTTGTTCGCATAATTAAGTACTATTACATAAATATTAATGTGGCAAAATATTTATTTAATGTTAGTACTTATATGATTATTTTCACCTAAACAGAACACTTGAAATGTTTTATTTCTTTTGAAGCTTTCATTAGCTGAATTTGCATTTAATAAATACTTGTTTTTAATTTTAAAAATACTATTATCGACCAAGAATAAAATCGCTTTGATCATTTATTAAAAAATGATAAACAAATGCAGCTTTTTTCCGATCAATTGTTGCTTGAACAACTTGAGTACGACTTCTCTGATTTTTATCACCTCTACTTCTTGGTGGATCTCTTAAAAAAATTGATCCAAATATTGTTGCTATAAAACAAATAATTAATAAATTTATAACAAGTTTATTATTTTTTTTATAGTAATAAATAAATAAAAATTTACCAAGAGTTTTAGCATCTAGTTCATTATCTTGAGTATGATTTAATAATTCTTGTAAAAAATAACAAATATAAACAAAAACTGTTCTCCTTATTTCTGGAAGTTGCATTACAATCTATAAAAAAATTTAAATATTAATTTAAAATATTAAATATTATGTATGTTTCATAATAACATGAAAATTTTTTTAAAAATTATAAATCCACACACTTGTTTGCATTGTAAATAATTTGTTGCAGCAGATAAGCATACACTATGGAGGTTGTATGGAATTAAAGGTTCAGCTGTAGACTCTAGAAGTAAAAGTAATGCTTCTGCAACAGAGTGAACACTACCAGCTTTGTAGTTATTAAGGAATCAAAATTATTTATAATAATGTATAAGATATTGATGTATAAGTTGAATATTTTGATTAGGATACGCATTGGATCTTGACTCCAATTGTCTAACCAATCTCTTATAGCTATAATTTCACTGGGAAGGCCCGGTGTTTCAAAAAGTCCCGTCGTTTTTATACCATGTCGATACAACCTATCAACTAAGAGCCATATTTCTTTAGGTATAGCATATGGTTCTTGAGAAAGATTTTTATTATTTTCCTATGATTTGATGAAATAGTAATATTAAGTTAATTGTAGGATTTTAATTTTATTTTTTTTTATACATATATATACTTATATAATATGCTTACAAGTTCCATTAATCTACCAATAGGAATTTCTCTAATTGGTACTGGAATATGAACTAAAGCTTCCATTGAAGATCCGAAACAGCTTCTTTCATAGGTACCTAAGAAAATAATATAATCTCATTTCTTTATTCTTTAAAAGCAATGTAATGTTAAAATATTGCAAACCTGTAACTGTTATAAATATATCTTTTCCTCCTTCCAAATGTAAAATTAAAATATCATATAATTTATCTTCTCCTGAATTTAATTTACATGCTGATCTTTTATCAACATATATTTCAAATCTAGTATCACATTTTTCTCCTAAACATGATAAATAAATAAATTTATAAAATATCCAATTTGATTAAAAAAAAAAAGAAAAAATTATACCTGGTTTTATGAAACCTTTAAATGGTTCTATATCCAACCATTCTTTACAATAACTAGTGTCACCTAATTTTTTTATAAATTCAAATTGAACTGGTACCTATAAATAGCATAATTAATAAAAAAAAAGAAAAATACTTCATGTAACACAATAATTAGATTTTATAAAAGTAATAAAATAATAATCTTTTGTTGCATGTAAACGGATAATTTGATATGAATTTATTATATATATTAAATCATATTGTATAAATATTGCATTATATAAGAATTGTTATTTTAAACTATATTATATTATAATATCGTTAAATAGCGAATTATATGAGGATTATCTATATATATCTTAAAAATTTATTTACCTGGCCAGTATTAGCAATAATAAGTTCTTTGCTACTAGGTTCAAGAAATTTTAATGTATCAAATATAATTTCTGTTGTATCAACCATCACTTGTGGTAAAAATTCGTTTTCTAATTTATCAAGTTTTTTCATAACTTCTTCGTGGATTTTACGATATTTTGCCATATCTATGATTCTAATCTATAAGTTGAAAAATATGATAAATTAAAAAAAAATTTAAATAAAATTTTAATAAATTAAATAAAATTTAAATAAATTAAAAAAAATTTAAAATAAATAAAAATTTAAAAATAAATAAAATTTTGTTTTATTTTATTAATTTTTTGTACTATTCAAAAATATTTATATTTACCTGAGAATCAAAAATTGCACTAACTGGTTTATGATCTGAAATTTTTAATTCAGAATGACTTCTATAATCTATTGATGTAATTGCTTCGCCTTTCCATAATATACGATCACACCATGCTGGTGCTCTACCTTTTTCACTATAATTGATATTTATATTTAATAAATGATATAATATATGTATATTTAAATACACAAAGAAAAATTCAAAATATAATTATAAAACCTTGAATCCCAATTATCAGTGCCTGGATCATATTTATATGTTGGTTTAAATGTAATTTCTGCTTCTTGAAATCCTTGTAAAACACGACCTAATCGTCGTTGTTGACCTAATTGATCTAAAGCTAAGACAGCAGAATAGTTTTCTTCATCTATATGTTGTTTAGCGACCATGACATCCATTTCAGTTATTCGATAGTTCAGATCTCCTAACCAATAGATCTGGCTATTTATAAAATTTTTATATTTTTAATTACACAATTTTACACTATATACTTTGAAATATAATATATGAATAGGATACTTACTCATGATCTTTAAAATTTTTAGGCGGAACATATTTTGTAAAAGATAATCGCGCACATATATCTGCATAATCTTGATTTCGTCTTTCGTATTCTTCACAATGTGCTGCTAAATGAGCATTAACAAAACAAATAGATGTATTATGAATAGAACAACTTACTGCTACACCTCCTTTATTACCCTGATAAGATTAAATTTGTTAAAATAATTTAATACCGAATTTTAAATTCTTTTGTATTTTGTAAAACATTATAAATATAAATAATTACAATAAAAATAAATATTACCATTTTACCCATGATGCCAGTACCTACTGTATCAACTGATACATCTTTTATGTATGGTACATGATTATGCAAAGCATATATAAGCAACATCATACCCACTAATCTTACAATAGCTACTTGCTCATAAACACCATTTGGATGAAGAGATTTTGCTACAACTTGTCTATAAACACATAATATAAAAATATAAAAAAATAATATTAAAATATTATTTAATATTTATATACAAATATAATTGTTTTACCTCCATTCTTCTTCTCTTGGAGTATCATTAAAAAGAAATGCTTCTTTAGTTAAATCTAGTTCTTGAAATCCAATTGCATATACATCAGGAGGTGTTTTATCATAACTTAACCATCTATGCAATTTAATACCATTTGGTGGTTGGCCATTTACATTCCATGTACCAATAAATATACTATAATAAATTATAAATATATATAACACTATAAATATATTATAACAAATTCTATAATAAATTACTTAAAAACTTATAATAAAATTATATATTATATAATACTATAAAATAAAATTATATAATAGTATTTTACAGAATGTATGAAAAAAATAAAACAAACCGAAATGTTTTACTGTATGTATAATCATCCTCTTTGCATGCCATTTGATATCGTACTGCTGACTCCCTAGCAGCTACTGGTGATTTGCCAGAAGCAATACTACGTCTTGTTACAACTAGAACTGGACTTTCTAGATCTACCAACTATACAAGATATTTTTAAATTTTCATTATTAATTTTTAAATAAATGTAAAAATTACAATATAAAATCTACTAACAGGATCAGTATTATCTTGTACTTCTTCATTGGTATTGGAATTTAAGTTACGTGTATTTCCTGTTAATTTTTGAACCCATAAAAATTCTGATGCTGAATTCTTAGTTTTTTGATATACTGTAATGATTAAAAAAATATATGTTTATATACTTATATTATCATATAAGTAATTAGATAAGTAATTAAATAACATATTTTTACCTTCTATAGCTCTAAATATCTCAGATACTAAGGAGCTAGTTACTACTCCAGGTCTCATCTCAAATATTAATTGTAATTTTCTTGATGTTACATTAAGATAAACATCTAAACTATCTTGTTGTTTGTCATCAGTATCTAATAAATAATATTTATTATTAATATATAAAAATATTTTAATATTAATTTGTAACCATACAATTGAATATTAAATATATAAATAATAAATAAAATTACATACTTATATTACATTTAAAATCTTGATCAATAGGCAATACTCTTTCTATGGTAAGATCACTATAAACTTGAGGGGGTGTTCTTGAAGTAATTAAAATAACTAATGCATGAGTAGTTCCTTTGTTAAGAAGTGCTATAATCCGTGCAGCTTTAACCCAACCTTGTATCAATGATGCTTCCATTGCCTTCTTATATGATTAAAGATTTATAGATTTATATTTTATATATACTTTTTAAAAATAGAGAAAGTAATTTTTGTTTTCAATTAAAAGGATACAATTATTACAGTCTCTCCTGAGACAAATTTTGATTGTACAATCATTGATTGTTCTGATGATGACATGCTTATCAATAAAATGTTATTTTCCAAAATTTTTAATATAATTCTGATATGATGTATGTATATGAGGACTAATATAAATATAAATATAAAATATTAATATTCATTATTGAAATATATTTATTATATTAAATATATTTATGTATTAAATATATTTAACATGTGTAATGAGAATAGAATATATTCTTATTTTTTTTATATTAATAATAATAAAGAAATAATTATAATAATACATATAATATAACTTTTAAAACTAGATAAAATAATTATTTTCTATTAATAAATTTTCATCATAAAATATTTTTTCCTTTTAAACGAAACATTACCTTATCTTATTTGTATTGAATATCGAGTATCACTGCATTTTTTCGATATAAGTTATTATTTCTTTCTAAAATATATTCCAATGTTACTATTAAGTAACTTATATTATATACTTTAATTTATCACTGAATGAATAAGAATGACAAAGTAAAGTAATTGACATTAGACATGATTAAATTTGTATCCCTCGTGTGTGTCAAAGAAATCAGTAGATAGTTTGTAGCTTTTTTTTTTAATGTGTATATATATATATATTACTCAATAAAAATGTACATGAAAATGAAGCATTTTCATGAAATGAGAAAAATAAAAAAAGTTTCTATTAAATTTGATATAAGTCGATTAAATATTTTTATTTATTTTTTATGAAATAAAATATTATTAAAATGTTAATATCTTATAATATAATTAATATAATTAAATTTAAATAAGAATTTTGTTTAAATAAGAAAAAAAGATATTGTTTTTAATACATATTTATATATTTTATAGAATAATTAGTTTTTTGTACAAATAAAACATTTTATTGAAGATAAAATGCAATTTTAAGCGCGCAAATAGAATTTCCCTAGTAAATAGAAAATAGTACCTACATTGAAAATTAAAAAATAGCTATGCCAACTTCCTGAAGCGTTGTAAGCAGATCTATGATCGTAGGTAAATCTTCCTTTTCTAGCGCATCCATTGACCATGCCGTTTACTGCAATGGCGGTATAGATATTTCATGAAGAAGAAAGTGGATTTTCTGCAATGTAAGTGAATATTGGTTTTATTTTTTTTATATACCCATATTAAATATAAAATTGTATGTTTTTCTGTGTATATTGATATCAAATTTGTGCTATTACGATATTACAGGATGATTACGATTTGTGTGGGCAAGGTCTAGTTGTACTTTTATAGACTACAGAATTCAGTTTCTTCCATATTGATCAGTGTAATAGCCAATATAATATAATCTTACTTCTAAAAAACAAAAAAATCCAGTTATCGATAATAATTGTTCCTTGAGGAGTTTATCAACTTACAACAATAGGACGCCAAAGAATTCGCGGTAATCGTTCCCGACGTCTTAGGTTAGGATGATTTAAGTATTGTTTGATGATTTCAAGTAATTCAATGTAATTTGCAAAATTTTGGCCTTTGGAAATGATATTTATATTTTATTATCATATTTGTTTCCTGTATATTTTTTATATTCATTTATTTGTTATTAATATTATACTAAATGAAATTTAAACGATGCATGTTAGATCTTAACAAAATTAGAGGGAAAACAGAACAATAAATAAAGTTTTAAAGTTTTTTTGCTTTTATGGAAAAAATATTTTTTGTGATGCATTTCACTAGAGATTTAATGTTTTTAAATATATTAGATTTATATTTCTTATATTTGTAATTTATTAATTTAAATAAGTTTTATAAAGTTAAATATAATTTCTTATCAGATATAAATCTTTAAAAGATATAAATATGAAAAAAATTTTTTATTTTAAGAAAGTATAAGATATTTTGATTTTAACAAATGTACATTGATTCTTTCTTTTGTAATAATTATACTTTTAGGTAATATTTGGTATTTCATTATCTGAATGGACAATAAGGTGGATGTCTCAGAAGTAGAAAATATTTCAATGATTGGATCTTCTGAAATTTATTATCTGCCTGAAGTCGCAGAGATATCAGAGGTATTAGATTCTACTGGTCTTAGTCCATTAACCTCTTCTTTAGACCACACTTTAACTCTTCAAGAGGATAAATTGCTTTCATCAGAAGTTAATATGGGTATAGAAGATACATGGTATGATTAATATTATTCATTTAAATAATTATTAATATGTAATAAATTATATAAATTATTAACATAATATTTGTTACATAGGACTGAAGCAAATAGTTCTACATCAGACTATGCTATTCCACTTCCACCACCACCTGGTTTAAATGATTTTACAGATGTTGGTGCAGATCCTATTGGTGATAATGGAACTGGTATAGAATATGGTCCATTTTTACCTCCTGATACTCCAGCTCTAAACAATTTGTTTTCAGAAGGTGGAGATTCTCAAGATGATTCACAAATGGGTATATATAAATACTATTATATTTATATATATAAAGCTATCTGATTTTTAAAAAAAATTTATTTATTAAGATAATTGATTAATGTTTTATTTATATTTATGTTATATAGAAGATGTAGTTTTACGCGCGGGAGTATGTGGTCTTCGCAATCTCGGTAATACTTGCTTTATGGCTGCTGGCTTGCAGTGTTTAACTGCAACACCTCCCGTACTGCGACATTTTTTGGATTTACAACAAAGGGGAGAAAAACTTCCTCCTCCTGGATCATTGATGGCACATTTTAGTGCACTTCTTGGTAAAATGTGGTCTGGCAAATATAGCGTTCTTAGGCCTACTGAATTTAAACAAACATTGGGGGCATATCATTCACAATTTAAAGACTATAGACAGGTAACTTTGAAATATTTTTATATATTACTTAATTATTAGTGAAGAATTTGAATAATTAATAAAAATAATGATTAACAGCATGATTGTCAGGAATTTCTTGCACTTCTATTGGATTCTTTACATGAACAAATGAATACTGCAAAATGTACAAAAAATTGTCAAACTCCTTCATCTACAACCACTGCCAACACGAATAATTCAATTGAAAATTCAAATGGAAAAATCATGTCTTCAGTCACTGCCACTAGTAATTCCAATTGTAATACAGATTTATTGGAAATGTATGATTGTTTACCATCACCAGAATGTCCAAATAGCCCCAATGTAACAATGGCTGGTTCACCAAGAGGTAAAAATATATCTTATTATAAATATCTATAATAAATAAAAATTATATATTATAAAAATAATATATAATTTTTATTAAAAATTATTTTAAATTAATTTATATTAAAAATTACTTAATTTCAGACTTAGGATCACCTATAGGAGAATTAGATAGTATTGTAAATTCGCCGCGAGGATCACCTTTAAACGATGGTGAGGATGACGAAGAAACACTTGATTCTGATGAAACTGTTGAAGCAAAATCAAATACGTTTATTCATAATGAAGTCGATGGAAAGAAAAATGAAGTCACACCTTCACTAAGGCTAGAAACATTAATTGAATTTTCAAAAAATGTTCCGAAATACCACGGTCTTTATGATATTCATAAAGAAGCAAAAACTAGTAATGCAAACTTCTTAGTAATGCAGCAGGAATGTAATAATGAGATTCATTATGATTCACAAAAATTTCCGAAAGAAAATATTCGTAGAATGCCTTTAGATAATTCAAATCTAATGGAAAATCATGATTTTGATAATAAGAGTGTTAGTATCAAAAGGATAAAAGAAGTTAATGTTCAAAAAGTCAATTGTGGTATAGATTATGGATCAAGTGGTTCTGATATAGAGTATGACAATGGTTTAGAGAAATGTAATGTAAAACGTATGAGGTTAGATGATCAAGAAAAGAATCATAAACGTGATGGTCAAGGAAGTATTAGTTCTCAATGCATACGAATTTCACAAAGTTATGGAAATGGTACTGTAGAGACACAAGATGAAATTGAGGCTGATAAACATTGGGCAAAGCATTTAAAATCTAATAGAAGTATTATTGTTGATACTTTCCAAGGACAATTTAAAAGCAAGGTAAATTTAATTATATCATATATAAAAATTTGTGTTGTGGAAACTATACGTTGGGGTAACTAGTTTATATATTTGGCTTTTACCGTAAAATGTTTCCTATATTAAAATTCAACAGCCATACCTTCTTGCTTTAAGAAGCATAAAAAGCATGTCTCATTCTGCTGATACAAATATTTAAATTATATGGCATATTTGTAAATACATAGTACATATAGTATATATATATATATATATATATATTTAAAATAATTTATATTTTTATACTCTCTTTCTATTGTAGGTTGTTTGTGCAGTATGTAATCATGTTTCTGTTACGTATGAACCTTTCATGTATTTGTCAGTGCCACTACCTCATGCAATGGAGAGACAACTAAATGTTACATACGTTCCTGCAAATGGTGATCAACCTATAAGGTGCGTTGTTTCATTAAACAAACAATCACGCATTGGAAAATTGAAGGAGGAGCTATTAAAAACACTTGGCAAAGAAAATATTGCAGTAACAAATATTGCACTTGCTGAAGTTTTAGAAAATCATATATCAAAGATTTTGGTAAGCATATAAAATTTATTGTATCTGTGAGAGTTGGCTTTTTAGTTTATTTATTTATTTATATATAGCATGTACATATATTTCAAGAAATTTTCATTTTATTAGTCAACTCATTATGATTTCATAATATTTTGAAAAAAATCTACAGATTGATAAATATGATAACCAGTTATTTGAATAAATTTTTAACATCTTAATATGTTTTTTAAGGACGTTTCAAGATATTTATAGTTGCTAGGAATAAAGTTTAATTTTATATCATATAAAAAACGGTGCGTGGGTCTATATGTTAGTACAAGAACAATCATGGAGGGTGAAGAAGGCGGCTTATCGAGTAGTCTCGATAATCGTTGATACTGCTCTCCAAGAATAAATGTTGTGGAAGAACATTCTCGTAGCGTAAAGTTTGGTTACGAGGCTACATTCCATCACACAGATTCAATTTTTTTGCTCCTATATTCTCTTATATAATCTGGTTTTCGCTATTTATTTTTTTGTAATTGGCCCAATGTGGCCATCATTCCTCGATTATATTATTTTACCCTTGCACCGTAGGTATCGAGAATTATGTATCTTGCTTGCTGTAACTTATCGCACTAGACGGAATTGTCATTGTTGGATTGTACATCAAGGTTTTACATTTAAGGATGACAATACACTCTTGAGACACATCAATGATACGAATCGATCTATATATGCCTTTGAACTTACGGAACCTCCTGATGCATACACTTCAGTACCAGATGGTGGTGGAGATCGTGTAACCGAGGCCGATTCCTGTCAGAAATGTACAGTTACGGGAGAGGAAATACCATGTACAATTTGTCTCGAAGAATTGGATGGAGATTTGAAAAGGCACAGTGGGAACAGTTGCAACTTTGTTATGTGTGATACTTGTATTGAGGTAAGTTTTATTATATAGTTTTTAATTTTTTTTTTTTCAAATTATTTTTGAA